TCACCACAGCTCAAGGAATCACTGTGACCTGGTGATGTGCTGCTGTGTGACAGCCTTCACACTGCCTGGGCCATCCTGGCTGCAGTGTCACAATTCCTCAGAGCTTTGCCCTTGTCCTCTGCGTCAGCATCAGTCACTTGGTGAGAACTGCTGAAGACAGCTTCTGCTCCCAGCCAGGTGCTGTCCTCTGCCAGCAGCATCGCGCTCTCAGGACAGCATTTGCAGAAGGACAAATCCCCCTTTTTCCAACTTCAGTGCTCAGTTTTCTGCACGTTGGGTCTTTGTAACCTTTCAGCTGCTCTGTGCTGGGTGGTGATGGAGATGGAGGGTTGTGATGGAGATGGAGCAGTCCCCACTGGAACAGAAAGAAGTGGAAATCGAGGCAGAGATGGATGGCCAGGAGCAGCTCCTTGCTGGGGGTTCTCCCCACCCTCTCTCTTATTTTCCCCCTTAGCACTGACTGCAGCTTATCTCAAGCTGCTAATACCAAAACCTGCTCTCTGATGCTAATATCTCAGGCTGACTAAGCCGCAGTTCAAGAGGAGATTAAATGATGCAGGGTGGAAAGACAGCCTGTCTTTTTGTTTTTTCCTTTCTGAAGGAGTTCAGACGGCTTAGGAGTCTTCTGGATGACAGCGGATGTATGGAAATGATTCCTGGTGCTTATGCAGAGCGGGGTTGTTTGGGCAGGGACAGATGGGATTGAGGAGGGCAAAGCTTTCCAGTGTAGCTTACCCTGCTTTATTCCAGGTGTGCTGGAGCAGCTGCCAACTCCTTCCTTGTCCTCTTTAATATGGAGTTAGCTACACCTTGAAAAGATCCCAGGGCACTGCAATGGCACCAGGTGGTGTTCCTTCTGTCCCTCCCCAGCAGCACCACTGGTCTCCTTTTAGCAGCTGCAGTTGCTGACATCCATGCCTGGAGTTGTGCTCACTAAGCCTCAGTGATGCTTTGATGAGCTGTGCAAATATTATTTTTACATTAGGTGTGATTTAGTTGTATTAAACAGCATTATTGCTTCATTATTGCTGTGTGCATGTTTCCTCTTGCTCTGTGCTGGGGCTGGCATCCCCTGAATTGATTTGCTTTGTGGGCATTCAGAAGTGAGCATTCAGAAGGCTCTCTGAGCTGGTTTCTGTTTTAAATCCTAATAACACTAATTAGGGTGGGGGGATCCTGAACTGTCCCATGATTGCCTGGTTGCTGCAAACTTTTCTGTGGTATCTGGTGTAGGAAAACCCGAAACTCGGAGTGGCTGTAATGTGTGTGATGTTTTGGGCATGCTGTGCTGGGTTCTGCTCTGATGTCACCTGTGAGGATGCAAACCCACAGCGTATGGAAAAGTCTTCCACTGCCCATCAGGAATGTAGTGGCTTTTCTGTCAGTTTTGAGACTGCTGTGTAACGTTTAACAAAGTGCTTTGGGATATAAAATGGTGCAGGGTGATGATGAGAGCAGGCAGAAGGAGTGTGATGTTTGACTGTCTTCGTTGCCCTGGTGTTGGCATTGCTCTGGGAGCATTAACACTAGGAAGGGGCAGAGCAGAGGGGAGCAATCCTGGGGCACGGAGGACCATACTGTGAGCTATGATAGAGGCAATCTTTATGCCTGCGTTATCCTGAGCATGCAGGAGTGGTGCAGCCCTGTGCTCTGGGGGCTTTGCAGCTGGGGAGCCTTGTTCTCTGCCCATATTGCTGGCAGCTGCCTGGCCCACTGGCTCCCTGTGTGCAAAGCCTTGCGCTGGCACACTGCCCTGCTGTTCTGAGCAGCCCAGCTCTCGTTCATTGACTGGGTAGGATTACAGGAACTGGGAGAAATGCAGGAATCAGGCTGCATTGGCTACCAAATGTATTTGAGCTGCTAGCAGCTGTTTGCTGCTTCCCCTTTTGGGTTCACACTCAGGCAAAACCTTGGTACCAGGCTCCAGGGCACAGTGGGATGTTCTGCATGTTCCCCCTTCTTCCCCTTGCTGATCAATTTCCCTTTCTTCCAAAGTGGGATGTAACTGGAAGGATTGGCATCAGGGTTGGATGTGCGTGGAAGAGCTGGGAAATGGCTGCTCTGTGGGTTGGGTGTGCTGCAGAGGAGCAGGTCTCAAGCTGGCAGGGGATGCAGAAAGCTTGCTGCAGTAAAACAGGCCATGGGCTTACCTGTGTGGGTGAGATGCAGTGTCTTTATGAGGGTACAGCTTTAGTGGAACCAGTGTATCCATCTGAGGTTCAGTTTTGGAGGCTTACCATCGCAGCACTTCCAAGTAGTGCAAAAGGCTTTGGGGTGACTGTTGTGATGGGATGGGAAAGAATGGGACGGGGTGCAATGATTGTAGACCCTGCTCGTGGAAAGTCCTGATCAGAAGGTTTTTCCTGCCACAAATCCCACAGTCTGGTTTAACCAGAACTTGAGGGTCTCTTAAAGAAATCTAAGTATGCTCACCCTAGCAGTCCCTAGCTGTCTTCCTGCAGGTAGCAGCAGAGTCCAGCATCCGACTGTGTCTGCAGCACTGCAACATCTGGAGCAAGGGAAGAAGCCATCAATCAGGAGCTGGAGCCAATGAGAGCTCTACTTCTTCCTTCTCCAAGCTGCAAGGAACACAAAAGCCCATTTTCTCTTGCATCAAACTCCATCTGCTGCAGGCTGGAACTACTCAGCCTGAGATATCCTGGCAGAACCAGGCAAGTGGCACAGGGTTGTGCCTGTGTCAAAACCCTCAGCCTGGAGCAGTTGTGCAGGAAGGTATCTGAGGCTCGATGGGGGGCTCAGGTGTCCTCCATAGCTCGAGGGCTCCTCACCTTCCCCAGAGACATGGAAGGAGCCAAGTGGCTGTAGACACGTCTGCTGGTGCCTGTGTTCCTCATAGTGAGGCTCCTGCATACCTTCCCCAAGACCACAGCAGAGCTGCAAAGCACTTCCTTTTACCAAGATATTTTTTACTGAATATATGAACCTGGGAGCCTGCAGAGCGTGAAATTAGGAACAAATGTAAAAAGGAGGTCTAGACAGGAATTGTTCTGCTTATGGGCTTTTTTCCCCCCTCCCTCCTTTGCACGCTGGAGAGTTTAATGCTTCCAGGTACATGGTTTTAAGCAGACAAGTATGTTACGGGAGGAGAAATAGTGTGATACAAATGGCCTTGCTCTGAGCAGGGCAGTGGCTGTCATGCCATGCATGGCTGACCACGGGGCACTGGGGGTTGGGTGGGAGGAATGCAGAGAAAATTGCTGTGTGCTCCCCCTTGCTTGCCCCTGGGACGTGCAACCCTTTAATTCATGGTGAGCAAATGGGAGCAGCAAAGGTCCCAGGGCTGGAGCACTGATGCTTCCACATCACTGCTGCAATTTTGGAAGGCTTGTTGTCTCCCTGCTCTGAACCCCCACAGGGTTTTTTGTCCCAGGAGTAGGGCAGGATTTGGCAGGGCTCTTATCCTGTGGCCGTACAAGAAGCTCTCGGCCATTACACAGCAGCACAAATTCCCTGCTCCTACAGCTCTGCTCAGCAGCAGCATAAAATGTGATACTGCTTTATCCATTCAGTACTTACCCAACTTTAGCAGGACATTAAGCACCTGAAAATATGCCACAGATTTATTTTCTTTGGAAGCAAGTTAAATCCCTGACAGATACAGTTGCTTTTCCTCAGGTGCAGAAGTAATTTGGGTTTGGGGAAGCTGGTTTTTTGGTTTAACCTGATATCATGAGCTGGAGGCCAGCTTTGTTAAAGCACTTGTCGGGTAGGTGGTCACAGTTTGCTCTCTCTGTCAATTTATGTCATTTATCCCAATCCCAGACTGATGCCTGCAGCTCTTGGGCTGTGGAGTGATACTGCTGTGAGGAGGAATGTGTTACAGCTGTGACTGTCCCCATTATCCCCCCTGGGTAAAGAGTTTGGCATTATTCTGCACAGGATGGTGGGAATTTCAAGTTTTTGGGATAGGGATGCTCAGAGCAAGCACTGCAGGGCTTGTGTTCATCTTGCACTGTGCATCTGCTCAGCTCAGGACATGGGGGCCTCATACTTTTGCTGTGTCTGTGCTAAAACCCCTGTGGATGCTTTAGGGGGAGGGAGATGCTACTCAGACATAGGGACTGCAATGTCCCTGTGATGCTCTGGCCACAGCACTGGCTGCGATGCAGGTTTCAGAAGCATCATCCCATGTACCATCATGCTCCCTTGATTTCATCTTGGCCACAGCAAAGCAAGGAGCCCACTGCACTGTGCGGCTTCGTCCTATGCTGCTGCTTTGTGGGGGAGAAGAGTGCCTGGCCCTGCACTCGTTAAAGGCTCACTTAGCAGCTCCAGTTATTCCAAATTAAAATACCACATTGTTTTCATGAGGAAAACGGATTATAAGCTCAGAGGAAAAATGTGCATGGCTCCAACCCCCCACTTGCTGTGAAGCTTCAAGCAGGAGCCAGGCACGTGCCATGAGCAAGTCCCCATCCCCAACACAAAGCATGGGGTGTGCCAATGGGCTGTGAGGCTCATGGCCAAACCCCATGCTGACATCATGCAGGTTTTACTTCCCTAGACCCCCATTCTGCATCCAGAGTAGCTTGGTGATGCCCAGACTGGTTGGCCAGGATGGGTTTTTCATTGCAGGACCATTTGTACAACTCCCATAATGTCCCACTGCTGCTGCTCACTCCCTGCATCAACCTGCAGTTGCTGGAGCTCAATTACTCAGCCCACCTGCGGGCTGCAATAACACTTAGCAAAGTTCTTCTGGGCTTTTTCCATCCTCCTCCAGCTGTCAGGTGCCATTGGGAGGGGTTGGGAGCTCCCTTGATGGCTTTTACAGTACTGGCATCCAGCCGGATCCCCTGCAGGAGAGGGGACAAACCCCTCTGCTTGCAGCATGCAGGCAGACTCAGTGGGAGCTCTCTGCAAATGGGGGTGAAGTATCCCATCCCTTCCCAACTCATCCAATCCCATTCCAACCCTTCCCATCCAGTCCAATCCCATCTTCTCTTATCCTCCATCACCCCATGTGCTCTCTGTTGCAGGCTGTTAATGGAGAAGAGGGCGAATGACAGCCGGGACCGTGGTCATCACAGGTGGAATATTAGCAACTGTCATTTTACTTTGTATCATCGCTGTCCTCTGCTACTGTAGGCTCCAGGTAAGGCAGGGTGATGTGATGGAGGTGGGATAGGGTAAACCAATCCCATGCCCCACGCGTGGTGCGAGAGTGTTGGGATCCCAGCTGAGCCCCATCCTGTTCCAGTACTACTGCTGCAAGAAGGATGAATCCGAGGAGGATGAGGAGGAGCCCGACTTCGCCGTGCACTCCCACATCCCTCCGCTCCACTGCAACCGCAACGTAGTGCTGACCAACGGGCCGTCCCTCTACAGCTCCTCACCCTTCAGCAAGAAGGCAACGCCGAGTCGCAGCGGCTGCCCGGGCTGCGGGCAGTATGAGCCTCCAACCTTCTTCCTGCAGGAGCCCCCTGAGGAGCTGCACAACGGGGGGGACCGGGTCAGCTTCCAGACCGTCAGCCAGGAGGAGCTCGACCTGCCGGTGAGCGTGGGTAACCTGCAGGCTCTCAACCCCAACCGGCTCTCAGCCATGCGTGAAGCCTTCTCCCGCAGTCGCAGCATCAGCACCGACGTGTGAGCCCTGCGCTGCATGGAGGACTTCTTATAATCCACCACAGTGTTTTAAAATAAAATTTAAAGGAAAAAAAAAAAAAAAAAAAGTGGAGTTGGGGGTGGGGGGAAGGGTGAAAGAAAGTTGAATGTATTGCTGCATTGGCAGGGATGAGTTAAAATTCAGTATAATGAAGGGGGAAGTGAGGGGGGCTTGATGGCAGCTGGGCCGTGAGGTTTTCTAGTGCTGCGTTGCATTTCTTTTTTTTCTTTTATAAAGAGGATTTTGATATTGTGCATCCTTTTATACAGAGAAAATGGCCATCAGCCACCAGTGGGTGGTGGGCTGAGATGGGAGGCTGCAAAGCATCTCGAGCTGCAAGGCTGCTGTGCTGTAGGGATATGTGGCACCTGGGGGCTGCTGGCCCTGGTGTGCAAACACACACAGCCAGCACCATCCCCTGGCAAAGCTGGGCTGCTGCTGCCCATCCTTCTGCCACTGCTTTGTGCTGCAGCCAAGCACATCCCATCCCTGTCCTGCACCCTCTTGCTCCTCCTAATGGGGCAGGAGCAGTGGGTGCAGATAGAGACGGGTTATCAATCAAGTTAGTTAGGGCGAGGAGGGAGGAATGATTCCAGATGGAGGAACGCACCCGCAGCTGCCCTCTCCAAATAATGAGCCTCCCCTCTCCAAATGATGCCATATGCTACTTCTAATCTAAGGAGCTGAGTGCTGGCAGAGCGAGAGTGCACCCATGTATGTGCACACACGCCCCTGCATGCACATTTCTACTTTAATTTTGAAGATTACCATAAGATTTACTTCCCATTATTCTTATTTTTTTTTTCAAATAGAAGCAGTCACAGCAGATCCTACCCAGCCAGGGACGTGACAGAACACTTCATGCCCTCCTTGCTGTCCCCTGTGTACAATTTCTCTTGCACAAAACCTTCTTGCCCCAGGTTGGGCTTTATTCAGGTTAAAAGCATCACCCTGCGCTGGAGCAGGGCTTGCTGCTGCAGAGGAGGGGTGGCTACAAATCGACCCTAACAGCCTCAGTGCTGTGCTTGGGGCCAGGCTTTGTTTTTAGAGATGCAATGAGAAGGAAGCGCTGCTGTTCCATAGCCCTCAGCATACACACGCTGTGTGCAGCCCATCTGGAGATGTTGCTTTCAGCTGTGAGGGCTTTTAATTCCCCCAGGAAACCTTGCAAAGCACAAAGTCAGCCTCTGCAATCCAGTACCTTTGATAGTTTGGGGTTTCTGTTGGGGAATTGGGGCTTGGGTTTGGCCCTGTTGAATGGCAGCACAACCACGGCTGTACAGTGCTCACATCAGTTTGTTTGAATGCATTCAGCCTTTGAGTTCTTTGCCTTTCTTGTGAACATTTTCTTGTTCCAGCTTTCCCCCATTTCCTGTTCTATTTTTTGGGGGGTTTTTCCTTCCGTTGTAGCTTGGAAACTAAGCAAGTGATTGACATTCTCTAACCTTCACCTGGCAAACGGTTGTACAGGACTTGGGGAATCATTGAAGAAGAAGAAAGCAAAAAAATAAAACTACTTTGACACAGGCTTTGCTGCTGACCTTTGTGTACCCATCTTGTGAAATACAGAGGGCAGTGGTTGCAAAAGTGCCACAGGGGTGCAGGCTTTCCTCCTTGTGAGATGCTCAGTGTATGAGAGGTACAAGGCTGGGGGGGATGCTCAGTAAGCCCTACCCATAAGGATACAGAACCATAACCACCTTCACATCTCCTTTTTTCATTCATTCCCCATCAAACCTCTTTGCATTCAGACTCCTTTAGAAGCTCGCAGTCCCTAACTCTCTACACATCACCCCAACTCCCACAGCAATAGGCCAGGAAGGACCCAACTCAGGGACTTTTTCTTACATCCAGAGCTAGGAGCTGCTGCACTCCCTGAGGAATAGGCCCAGCACACAGCACAGCAACAACCCTCCACTACACACTAGAGAATAAAGCAAGATACCACCATAAATATGACAACTTTATTAAAATATACATGGGTACAAATTAATGATTACGTGGATAAAGTTCACTGTCTGTAAACAAATATATTAAAAAAGAGCACGTCTTTTTTGTGATATAAAGTGCAGTAATGTTTCCATATTATATACAATATGTCAGCATTTGAGGGGGGGGAGGTTGTAAGGACTATGGCACTAACATTTGGTTACGAGATAAAATCCTCTGAAAAAGTATACACCTCCATATTACAAAAGAGGGCTTGGGCTTGAGTTCATTTAGCAAATGAAAATCTGCTTCCCACTGTGTTAAATGTGAGAGAGCATTGAGGAGAAAGCAGGGAGGAGGCACTCACCCCCTCTGCTAGGGAACACACCGGTACTTTCACTCCCATGGGTCCATGCCCACCCCCTATTTGCATAGGCAAAAAGAAACCAAAGGAGGAGACCTTGTGAAACCACGTGAACATCTGCTGTTGGGGGAAATCAAATATACACGATCGTATGTACAGCTCTGATAACCAATGTACAGCAGCTCTGAAAGCAAGCCGTGCCAGTGGAGCGAGGAAAGGAACATCCATCCCCAATGCTCACCAGCAGGGCTGCGGCCCCAGCCCTGCACTACGAGTGGGGGGTGCGGCAGGAGCGGCAGCAGGCTTTGCTGTAGTACCAGTGGCTGCACAGGTTCACTTTGATGGCCAAAGCACAGTTGGTTCCTGCCTGGTCCTGGCAGCTGTCGTCTGTAAGGGAGAGAAGAAGAAATGGGTACGGAAAGAATAAAACACAACGCCAGCAATGCAAGTTCACACTGATTCCCTTTGGCACCACACACTGCCCGATGTGTGGCTGTGCAAAACATCACCCCATCTGCCACCACCACGTCCCTATTACCAGGCAGAGCATCCCCTGGAAAAGCCATGTGCTTTCTCCATGAATATCATCATCCAGCCAAGCCAAGGTTCACATTCCATCACACATGGCCTGACCCAGGGATCCTCGCTCGGACCCACTCTGCAGCTCAGGCTCTTCCCTATGGAACAGGTTTGCCCAGAGATCACCAGAGCCACCGAGTGATACTGGACTGAGCTGTCCCTAAGCAGAGGGGCTGCCATGGGAGCACAGAGGAGGTCCTAAGCACACAACTCCTGCCCAAAAATACTACTTGAGGTATTTGGGGCAGATGAGCTGCTGGAGAGAAGGAAGAGAGCAAAAACCACCACAACACACATCCAGCCCCCTCCAGAGCAGTATTTTGCTTTAAGTCTGTATACAAGTTACAATTTTTGCATCGTATCCATAGGAAGCACAGCTTGCTCTGGGGGGGGGGGAAACCATCAGAGGACCCCAAATTCCCACACCACATCCCTGACCCACAGGCAAGGCAGAGCTGTCAGCAAAGGCACCCGCTGAGCCAGGAGCTGCCCCAGGCCTGCCTGCTGTCTTCCTGCTCTTCTCCCACCTCAGCCTTATTCTCAAATCCTATTAAAGAATTAGAACCGTGTGTTTGCTAAAGATCACAGGGGCTTTGAGCCAGCAGACGAGTCAGATAATGAGATAGTTACAAATCCCGCAGGACATTCAGAGACCAAAAATCATTAAAATAATGGCACAGACGAAAAACTTCTTAGACATGAGCTGGAATCACACAGAAGCACCACCCGAGCTCCCTGCAGCTCCCTTTTTTCTTAAGGTCAGAGCACGTTGCTTGTGAGCTCTCCCCTTTATTTAATGGTCATGTATAGAGACACACAGTGGTACAGCACACAGTGCCATTACTGGGGCATAGAGAGGGCAGATCCTGAGATGACCATCAAGATAGCAGTGGAAAATGAAAGCTAAAGGTGTGCTGCTGAGGAGGGGGCTCACCTGGGGGCTCGGTGGGGCAGGGCTGCAGGTCACAGGTCTGCTTGCCCACCGGCTTCACCAGGGGGTCGCAGCCACGGACGATGTCCTTTCCCTGGTAGCACTTGACGTCCCGCATCCTCACACCGATGCCGCAGGTTTTAGTGCACTAGGGAACAGAGAGTGGGGTGAGGTGAGAACCCCCCAGCACAGGGGGCTGTGCAAGAAAAAACAACAACAAAAAACACACTGGAACAGCTGGGGGTATGGGTGAGCACTGCCCCTCGCTGAGCACTGTGTCCACACACCGCACTGCTGGCCTCTCTCTGCCTCACTGCTGCCAGCAGCAGCAGACGTCTGCAGCAGCCTGACTGCTATCCATGGATGTGCTCCCATCCCTGGGGCTGCACTCCTCCCTCTTCCTGCTGCTCTCTGCAAAGAGCCACGGCTGAGCTGCGTGGCTCAGATACTGCTTATTGCCACCGGGGGGCTGTGACCCTATAGCTTATAGGGTGCAGGCACTGGGTTTGGTGTCTGTGCAATGTGTCTAGGGGGCTTCGCAGAGCAGCTCCCGGGCTGTGCTCGCTGCCTGCTGCCCTTTGGCCGCCTCTTCATGTGGGGATTACTGCAGGGTTTCTTGGGCTAATTATAGGCTGCCACGACAGTTTTCAAGACTAAACAAAATGAGCTCCAGGCGGACAAAAGGGGCTGCATTGGGGAGCTCTTGTGGGGAGCTGGGATCAGCTCTGCAGCTCCTTGCAGAACAGGGGCATCCCATGTCAGCCCAGCCTGCCCCCAGCATCACTCTCCAGCTTCCAGAGCCCCAGCTCTGCTCCCCACCTACCTGCAGGGCAACATCCATGTGCTGCTGGAAAAAGGTGGTGAAAAAGGAGGAAAAAAAAAAGAAAAAGAGGGAAAGAAAAAGCCAAAGCTAACCCCAAACAGCTCTTATTCCTGATCTGTACAATGAAGCAAGTCCTGTCTGCATTTTGTCAGAGCTGCTTTAGCAAAACAAAGGGGCCCCTCTCTGTGCTCCCTTGCAAAGCTTCAGCCAGATCCATGGGGTATTTTGCAGGTGTGCAGCCTTTGGTACAAAGCCACATGCTCAAAGAAAGCATCTTCCCAGAGCAACCCCCTGTACCCCCACCTACCTCTGACCACGGGGTGGTGTACCACTTGAAGCACGGCCGCTCGAAGCACGTCGTCTCCTCCACAGGCTTCTTGGCCACGTCGCAGTCAGTGGGGTTGTGAGTCTTGATCTTGCCATTGACAATCTCCAGGCAGAGCACAATCCTCTTCTTCACACCCCGGCCGCACGTGGTGTTGCACTGCAGGGTTCCCCACCATAAGCATCCTCCATTGCCACCGCCACACATCGCCCCATCCCCAGTCCTTACCCGCTCCCAGTCCTGTGCCAACCAGTGTGACGGGCAGTTCTTGTCCCCGCAGGGGTGGATGGCCAGAGGTTTTGTCTCCAGGTTGCACTGCGACTCTGGCACCACGCGCCCATCGCTGGTTTTGCAGTACACGTGTCGGATCATCCTGCCCTGTCCGCAGCCACCACTGCACTGAAACCACAGTGGGCACAGCAGGCGGTCACAGTGCAGTCCCAGCTGCACAGATAGGGAGCAGCATGCCTGCATTCTCCCCACCCATCTCATCCAGGGACGCTTGGGGTTGCAGTAAGAAAGCAAATGCCTGCTTTGTTTCCTCTCATTGGGAGCCAAAGCATCCCCATCGCAGCAAAACTTAGCACAGGCAGAAAGGCAAGTGACACAGACAGGGAAACATGGGGCAGTTTCAAAGAGTCTGAGTGAGGGGCTCTGGATGTCCCCCCTTTGCTGCCCTACAACTTGGGGGGAGCAGCAGCCACTCCAGCCGAGATGTGCGGAGCTTCACAGCACCGCTGCTGCCATGGAAACTGCTTATTTTTAGCCATAGGATAAAAGCTGGGTAAAAATAGCTTGGGACAGAAAGGGTCTCTGTAGCAGAAGTATGCAGAAAGGGAAAATGGGGTGAAAAGGAAAAACGGGTCATCTTATGGGTTCTGAGCATCAGTACTGCCAAGCTCAAGACCCCAGGCCCACCAAACTGCAGCGCTGCCACACGCCTAAAGCCACAACACGACCCAGGTGTGTCAGCCATCCCTTCCCAGGCTCACCGGTCCCCAATCAGACACGGTCCACTGGCGGTCGCAGGGCGGCCCTGTGCAGTTCTTCTCAGCCAGGGGTCGGGCGCTGGCATCACACAGCTTCTCCTCCTCCGAGCAGCGGATGTCCCGCGTCACCACACTGCGCTCACCGCACCGCGCAGAGCACTGTTGGGGACAGAGGGGGCACACAGGATGGGTACAGGGTGATGGGAACTGGGAGATGCTTCTGAGGGTTTTGCATTTTTAGCCTGGAACTCTCTACAAATGCATGATGAAACCACAGAGCTGAGATTTTTTTATCCTGCGGATAAATTTGGCACCGTGCAGCCCAGTGACATTATTTAGAACCGGGGTTGAGTTACTGCAGTCCCCCATGCACACGTTTGCTCTGTGCATGCTGTAAAGCAGGGAAGAGTGTCAACAGCACTCAGACGCACTGTGCTGATATGTTAATCCTCAGATCTCCAAAACGTGCTTTTTTGGGGGCTTACTTCCCAAGCCAACTTGGCACCCAGCTTCAGATGCGATCCAAATTAGATTAGTTCTGCTGCTGGCTCAGAGTGAGCGGCTCCAGGGCTGTCTCAAGCAATCTGTCCCTGACACATGCTGGAGGTGTAGAGGGGTTCTGGTAAAATAAGCAGCTCTGGTTCTCTCTGCCAGTCAAAATATTGCAAGAGCACGCGTGCAGGGAGCCTTGCTCTACTGGATTGAGAAAGTCAAAACATCCTGCAACAGCAGAAAGGAGCAACCCTCCACACATGATGGAAACGGCTCACCCAGCCTGAAGAGGGAAGGAGATGGGGAGTGATGACCAAAAATGACTTTGGAAGGCTCTGGGAGGAAAGGGTTTCATTCATTCTGCACGGGTTTCGTTCTTCTTGTAGTGTGGTGCAATGGGAGGTGAGCAAAAGGTGCTGATGGCAACCCTGTTTCCATGCCAACCCTATTCCTACTTCCCTGTGCACCAAAGGGGCAATGCACACCAGTCTCAGGGGCATATGTTATTAACCGGTGTGCATTGGTCCAAAGACAACCATCACTACCAAGGTCCAAGGTACCAAGGTTCCCCTCCAATGGCCGGGGGTCATTCCAAAGCCCCAGAGCTTACCTCTGACCACTCAGACATCTCCCATTGTGGCCCACAGGCCGGGTTCTTGCAGACTTTGCGCTCGTCGGGCCGGGTGATGTCAGCTGACTCACAGAGGTCGCTGTAGACAGAGCTGTCAAAGCCTGGAGAGATCATCTTCCAGCAGCGCACGATGCGGAACTGGTAGCCCTCACCGCAGGTACGGGAGCACTCACTCCAGCTGCTTGTCTCCCACCTGTGGGAGAGCCAGAGAAAGGATGCAGTCAGCAGGAAGCTGGAGGGGTGCAGGCAGCCCTCAGGGTGCTACAATCAGCCTCCAGGAGGTGCTCAGCGCAGCACATTTGGAAGGGCCTCCTTCGTTCCCCCCATCCTGCTGCAGGCACAGAGCAGCTCCTCTCAGTGTTCGGTCTTCATGGAATGAGACCGGCCCTACTGCTCATCTCCATGCTAGGAAATAATTGGGTTACTGCAAATGGAGAGTGAAATCCCCATAGCGTGTCCAGGATAAGAGAGCAGCACCATCCCCCTTCCCTGTGCTCTTCTTGCCTGCACTGCCACCTGATCTGGTTTTCAGCCTTAATGTGCAGAGCACAGTGAGATCTTACACCCCAAAAGGTACATACATCCCCTCTTCCCTCCCCAGCACCAGCTAGCCACACTCTGCCATCAACCAAGCTGGAAAACAAGCACTCTGCATTTTCACAGAGCTATACCCAGCCCCTGGTATCACCCCAGTCTTGCTTTGCACTGTGGATGAAGTCATCACAGAGCATGCACCAGGCTGTTCTACTTCTCTCTTTGCACTGCTCATGGTCTGACACTGTCACAGCCCTCCCCTTCAACAGACACCAACCACTGCTGCTCTCTACAACAAGCACACCTCTGCTGTACTGGGGTGTGTACAAGTCACACATTTCCACTCAAGACTGCAATCCAAATCATTCTTTTTTTGGACAAAATGCTGCATCAGAAAGGATTCCAGCACACGTTCCATCCCTGCCAACATCTCACACTTCACCCTGAGCACAAGCAAACCTCAGTCATGTTTAGGATGCTGAAGAGGGCACAGGGATGGGTCCCATACCTTGGCTGGCACTCTCTCCCAGCACAGAACTCATGGACAGGCTCAGGGCGGGTCATGGCATCACAGTACGTATCGTCCACTTCGATCCCATCATAGCGAACGCACATAGCATACGTGGACATCACTCCTAGTTTCAAAGAGAATACACATACAAAAAAACTACTATGTTTTCAGCTACATTTTCCAAAGCTTCCTCCTGAAGGAAAGCTGCAAGCCAGCCCTTCTGCCCACGTGGAGGATGCTGACCAGCAAGAGGACCACGGTGGCCACCAGAGCCAACCTAAGCAAGGACCGAGGCTGGAAGTAGGTCCAGCCATCGTGCTCAGCACCAGTAACAACAAACAACCATTGTGTTCACATAGAAAATGCTCAGGGTCTGCTGGGGTGCTTCCCACTTCCAGGCTGGTGGATGTAGGTGAGATGGAAACAGCCCCCAAACCATCCCAACCACTTCCATGTCACCTCCAGTGCTGGCACAAAGAGAGACTGACTGTAGCCTAGCCTGGGGGACAGAATGCTATCCTTGTCTTTCTGTAGCTTTCAGGAACCAACAGGCTGCTCTGGCTGCAGGTAACTGCAGATGCAGCTCCCAGAAACATGATTTGCACGAAACTGAAGAAAGACATCTACAGCTCCTGACATTGCATGGCTCCTCTGCAATATGTAATTAGGAAAAAGTAACAGGAAAAGCAAATTTTAAGTGAAACCTTCCCCTGCTAGTTGAAAACTGGGCATCCCTGGGATTGCAGTCTCCTCTTCTCCCCTTCCTTCTAATGCCAGAAGCCCCATAATGTCAGGATTATTCCTGAGACGACACTGGTGAGCAGTGTGGCACTGTAGGACAGAGCAGGCTCCTTCCCTTCACCTGGGGGTCAAAGAGGAGGGAAAGCAGTGCTCTGGAGACAAAAAGGGGGAATTTAAGGAGCAGGGCCAGGTTGGGGCAGGCATGTCACTGTTCCAGGCTCAGTGTCACAGCTGACATCAGGCACGGCAGCAGCAGGAGTGGGAAACCAAATGAAAAAAGCCAAATGCCGCTTTGTTTCCAGCCAGAGCAGAATCTTTCTAATTCTGCTCTGTCAGAAAGAAGCTAAGCTTTTCAAAACCTTCTGAGCACTCAAGAGGGGAAGGGAAAGCAGGAGCCTGGCAGCATGGATTTCAATCTGTTGCAGCTGCTCAGGTTGAAGGAGCCAAAACTCAGCACGAGCACCAGGACCCTGCAGGGCTGGTAAATGCTATGTGGGACTGAAAGATGGAGAAATCCCCTGTGCATCACCAGGTCCTTCCCATCCCTACCAGACACAGCGCGACTCACACGGCTGGGGCTGTTCTCGTAACTACCTGTGGTGCATGTAGAGCTGCAGGGTTCATGGGAGGAAAGCTTCCACCTGTACATGTCAGCAGCACTCACACCTTGGCCCTTTCTTAACAACTTCAATCTGTTTCTAGCAACAAGCACAAAAAAGAATAAAATAAAATAGTGTTTACAAGGAGAGCCGTGATATGCCACGTCAGAGAGACACATCTGCGAGCAGGTTGGGTTTGGGAGGGGATTGGCTTTGTTTGTCGGTTGGGTTTGGTTGCTCTGATTTTTGGGGTTTGTTGGTTTGAATTGTTTCATTTCGTTTCACAACATACCTGTCCTGAGCCCCAAGTAGAATCCCCAGCCCGGTTAGAGGCAGAGCTTCCACTGTCTAGAAATAGAGAGAATGGGATAAAAATACCCACAAGTAGAAACAGTTCAGAATTTCACAAAAGTTTGCATTTTCTGCTCAAATACACCTGGCCCTCGGCGTACAGCGGCTAAAGGCGCAGCATCTCCTCCCGGCGCTGCTGGGCTCGGGCTGCTCCCAGCTCCTGCCTCGGGGTCTCAGCAGCCTGACGCTTTGCTTTGGGACACGAAGGCATGCCGCTCGCCTACCTGCTGCCTCGGCCACTCTCGCTGGGTTGTTTTGGTTTGGATGCGCGATTCGCATCGCTCACGTTCACGCTACGGTCAAACGCGTAACGCCATTGGGGGGGAAGGGAGAACAGATTCAGCCTGGTGTGTGAAAAAGCAGCGTCAAACCAAGAACAACAGCTTCTCAGTGCGTCGTACATCCCGGAATGTTGTAACACGTCAGGGATACGGCACCTTCCCAACAGAAGGCTTCGGTCCTCAGACCTTTGTCCAGACCCTGGAGGTGCCTACGCTGATTGGAACAGGGGACAAGGCTGTATCCTGACATCCAGCTGTCTCTGGCCTGGCAAGATACGCAGCTTTATGATTTCTAGGCAGCAGAAGCTCTGGGATTGCCTTATTTAGTTGTTCGTAAGTTCATGTCCAGCCTATCCAATCCACTCTGACACTGAGAATCCAAACGTTCCCTTCCAGACCCACCCTCCTTCCAGCCATCCTCCAGGAGGATTGCGCACAGTTCTCCTTCCCCCTGGTCATTTTGCCTCTCATTTTGGCACAACAGTCATTTCCTGCATACAAAAGGGAACTGAAACAAACGTGGCTATTTTCGCCCCCCCCTCCTCCCCACAAAATAACCAGCTTGACTTGCTATACATAGTGCTTCATCTTGTCAAGCAGCTCTGCCACCGCCAGCCCTGACACAGCCACCAGGACAGCGTTCAGAAGAGCCATGGGAACAGACATCTGGGTTTTATGTTGCAGTTTGCCTGGAAAAGGGGCTGGGACCTCACACCACTGCTCTAAGGCACCAACGCCAGCATCGTGTTGCCCTGGGATTAAAGCATCCCTGCCCAGCTTCACAAGGGGAAAAATAAAATAAGCATCTCAGGGCAGAAAGTCCATCAGCACTGCCCCTTTCGGTTGATCCTAAAGGGCTTCTACATGTAATGAGGTCACAGGGATAAGTTCTTTCTGGATAAGCCAGATATTTGGTCACAGGTCAGTGCTCAGCTCTCATCATTTCCAGAAAGACAGAACATGTTTTTGCTCTCTAAATGCCAACAGCAGCACATCATCCTATAAACAACATGGCTGGGTTTTTCCTATTTATTAAAAGCATTGTGACTTTACTTCTGCTTTTCATGCAGGACCAGCACCAGGCCATTAGTGCCAGGTGCAGGTCAGCCCTTGCTGCTGCTTTCTAGTGAAACTCTTTTATGGGGCAGCAGAAACAAACACCCCTTTTGGCAGCAGCTGGGGCTCTGGCTGCCTGTCCTCCCATAGCCAGCCTGTAGCAGGAGGAGAAATCCTAATAAGTGCAGCTGAAGAGGAGATAACTCCTGGAGGATGGCTCCTGGAGCACAACAAGCCCCTGCTGGAGGAACAGGTCTGACCCCTGTGCTTCTCCTTGCACACCTTGCTCCAGCACCCTGCCCATGGCTGGTGGGATGGAGAGCAAGACCCCCCACTCTACTTCCACATTTTGTTTCCATACACACGCTCCACAGGGCAGCACAAGTTGCTAAGGGACTTTCTGGATGGCTGGAGGGTGAGGCCCTGTGAAATAAAGCACTTTTTTTTTTTTTTTTTGGATGATGCTCCCAAATTCAGAAATCTAACAGCTTTTTCAGCTGTTATCATTTAAATCTGAAAAATTCGTTTCATTCCAGAGAGCAGTGGGAAGAGGTAACACTGCAGAGCAGAGCCAAGGGAGGAATGGGAAGAAAAAGCACAATGCTTGGTACTTCCACTGAGCGGCCTTAAATCCCTGAGCTGTGCCTCTGCACCTTTGATAGAGATGGTTGAGGATAATGGGGAGAAAGTTGTTGGTTTGCTTTGTTTAGCACAGGTAAGGGCACTCAAGGCACTGACAGTCTATTGGGGGCCATCCTGCAACAGTCACGTTGCTCTGAGTCTCAAAGTACGCGCAGTTCCTCCTGGGGAGGCTGGAAAGCATCAGCCACATTTAACAGCTCCTGGAACAGAGGCATAGGTTACAGGGTGCTGCCCAAAGCCACCCAGGGAGGGTGCAGGGAGCAGGGCAGGCTCCTGCTGGCCCCGGAGAGCAGCACTGCAGGGAGCTGAGGCGCTGCCCTTGCTTGTCAGAGTGCTAACAGAGTGCTTGCTTTGGCAGCAGAGGCAGGGTTTCCAAGCCAAGCCACAAGAAGAGATGATAGACAAGCCCGTGGCAATGTGTAAGTGTTCTTATCATTAAGAAGTCTGTTGATATGTTTGGCTGCATGGACATTTTCTTTAGCATAAGCTAACATAAGTTCTAGATAAATACAGCTAACTATAACCAGAGAGCATTTGTGCAGTGCTTTTCATCTCCTGAAGTTCAGCATCCCAACCCATGTTTTAGCAGTGGGAATTGGGCAACAGAGCTGAAGTAGCACAGAAAGGAGCTGTGCACTCAACCAAGACAGGAGGGACCCAAACCCATGGCTGTGCCTGTGAGACCTGGATAGCCCCCAGGGCCTTGTTTCAGCCCAAGCTCTCTAGGGAATGCTCTCATCTGTGGCTTCATGCAAGGAGTGCTAATTGCTGCTCTGCCTTGTGCTGGGAACATGCTGCTGAGAGCCCTGGGGCACCTCAAGGTGTCCTCATGTCCATGCTGAGGAAATACTGTCCTTAGACTTTCACACAGCCTTGTCCAAGTGAATTATGCTGCTAGAGACAGATTACACTTCTTTAAGCTTCCCCATTGCACTTCCGTAATGCTACCACTCAAAGCCAGACAAAGGAATCCTGAAGTGCCAGTTCTATTATCAACCACTTTAAGCTGCCAACTGAGTGCTTTTGATGTTCTTATCAGAGCAGTGATTAATTGCACTGTTTCTTCCTCCATTAAGGCAACAAACCCAGGCTATTTCTGTAGGCCCTGCACAAAAGCTCTTGTTCTGCTGTGCCTCTCCAGCAGCAGAGAAGCAGCAGGATCAGCCCAGGGGAGGAGGACCATGGGTGGCAGTCAATGGGGCGCATAGAAAGGGCCCAGGATCAACTTCTGCTGCATCAGAATTAGGAGGAAGGTGCCCAGGGAAATCAAGAGTGGGACATCAAGAGAAAAGTTTTGTTTGCTTTTATATACTCTGATGATGTGCTACAACAGAGCAGTGGGCAAGCTGACAGCCATCACTGTGGCCTCACCAACAGCCCCACTGAGGAGAGCAAATTTTCCTCTTGCTCAGAGGTTCTCTCAGCTTTCTATTCAAACCCTCGGCCCTTCCTTTCAAGTCAGTCCCTAATGGGAAGCTTTTGTGACATCCTACTCCCACTTACCTTCTGGCTTCCAAAGAAGATACAAATTATGCAATGGGTCTGCATTGCGTACAGTGCTATTACGAGTCGAGAACAACAATAAATAGGATTGACTACAAAAGATACGTCTCCTACCTTGCTTTGTGGGTTCTGTTCCCTTGAGAGCTGGTCATGGTGACAGTGGCATTTGAAAACGGTGTCTCTGCAGATGAATTGATGGCTTTGCCATTGCTGAGCTCCATGTATGTGCCATTGATGGTATAGGTCACAATGCCATCAGTGTCCTCGTAGTCAACGTAGAGGCTGTCGATGTGGGACCCCACAGAGTTGATTGGGTCTCCCTGGGCAAAGATGCTGTTCATGGTCATGTTGAGTACCAACTCCTTTGAGTCAGAGGCCTTGTCCAGCAGTTTGTCTGTGATGGCATTCTCCGAAAGGAATTCCCTGGAGGTGAACCTGGGGTCAAAGTCTCTGTCGTCATGGTCTGTCTGGTAAGTAGACCTGGTTACGTTTGAATCTAGATTGGAGCCAACAGGGGAAACAACAGTGACGACCACAAAATGCATTTGGGCAGGGAGGTGAAAGCAGCCCCGAGCAGCAGAGATACACCAGAGCCTGAGCAGCCATGTCAGGGGCAAGTGGAAGAAGTAGGGGCCTTGGGGTAGGAACCCTTGGAGTTGTGCCCACTTGGAAAGAGTCCACAGCTCCCTGTGGGCCTCATCTTGCAGTTGTGTGGCCCAAGGAGGAGAGCCCAGCACACAGCAGTAGGGTCCCAAGCAATAGCAGAAGTAAGAATGGTGCCCAATAGTCCCAAGCCCACAAGCCATGCAGGGGAGGCCCCCAAGGGAGCTTGATAATGGGATGCCCAAGGGACTTGGGAGGAGAGGAGCTTGTTGGCACTGTGGAAAAGTGAGAAAGGAGGCTGTGATGGGGAGATTGGCACACCTACAGCTCCCTCCCTTCAGCATTAGGCAAAGCATCATGGGGCATCAGTGGGAGAGCTTACCCACGGCATCCCCCACCCACCAGAAACCAGAACTTGAAGGGCAAAGAGGATTTATGAGCAGAGATGTTTTAAAGAACTTTCCAAAGTTTCCAAACAAACCAGTAGGATCACTAGAGTTAGAAACACAGCGTTTCTCCACAAGAGCTGTGAAAGCAGAACAGTGAGGCCCAAGTCTCCTCCTTACCTTTGGGTTGTTTGCCCTTCAGTTTTGGCTCACAGTCAATTGTTTCTGCTCTTTCATAGACCTCATTGGTTTCCTGACCTTTGCTCAAGTTTAAATCTTCCTCCGTGTCCTGTCTTCCAAACACCTGGTTCTCCAAGTCTATCCTTTCCCTGGAGATTTTCCCAAAATAGGTTGCGTTGTGTTGGATAAAGCCCAATGGCACATCTCCATCAAACTCCCTGCTTTCTTCGCTATCTGACTCAGAAAAGGTGTAGTAGATGGGCTGGAGATTTGAGTGTGGTTTCCTCAAGAGAGTGTATTCAAACGTGATGGATGGATTTTTGCCATTTTGATTCCAGACCTAGCAAACGTGACATTATTAATGGATGCAATGAATATATGGCATGCAAAGTTTGTGATTCATCTTGGACTTGACAGTTGGTGAGTATCTACCTCACTGTTTCCAATCTGCTTTCCATCACATTGCCAGCTTCACACAATTGAAGCCCAACAGAGTTTTCCAAGGGTTAGTATGAAACATGCAAATTCACAAGCAGCTCTCACCCAGCAGCTGAGCAACTGCTGAGGCTTGGGAGAGCTGTCTTCATGTGCACAAACCTCCTTTTTGAGGCATTACAGGGAAGTGAGGAGCAGGTGATTAGGTAACCACCCCTTCCCTTATAGGCAAGCCCAGGGACACAGGGAAGATGGCAGCGGGGGGGGGGGGGGGCGGGGGGGGTACTAGTTGGTTGCCCAGAAGCAAATGTCTGGTTTTAGATGGTTTGCCCCTTCTTCCGCCCAACACAGCTTCTCCCTCACCACCCCAGTCTCACATACTTGAAAAGACAAAGCTCACCATGATGTTCAATCCTTGGTTTGTTGGTCCTTGTGCAACAATATACTCTATGCCAGTCTCATAGACGTCCATGGGCCGGCGGTACTTGAACACCGTGCCTGCAATGTTGAAGTTCTTTGGGCTGTCAACTTTGTAATTCCCGTTGAAGAAATAGTACCCAGCTTCATCAGCCACAGCTTAAGACAAGAAAAACAAAACAACATCAGTTCCAAAGGCGAGATGTAACATTGCCATTTGTCTGCTCAGACTGTAAAGTTATCGGAGTGTCACAATAATGAGACGTGTTTTCTCCTACACTTTAATGCATTTGTCAGATGTTGTCTTCCCAACATGGATCCTGCAGGTAAACACCCAGAACCCTGGGCTATGTTTTCCTCTACACTGCAAGCTCCCAGGCACGTCAGCTAACAGCACCAGCACAGCACAAACACAAAACAAGAACAGCTCTGCAGACAACAAGCAGACTGCCAGAGGCTACAGGTGAAGATGCCTCTTCAGGAGCCCTGAGCTGACCACATCTCACCCAACTGTCCCAAGACTCATCCAGAGCTATCCAGAACCTGTCCTTCATAAACCCTTTTTGCTCAAACCTTCCTGTGCATGGCCACGAGCCTCTGAGGCAACACCAGAGCATGACAGCAAACATGTGCCTCCATTGGGCAAGCCCAGGTTCTCAAACAACCCTACAGAACAGCTCTGCCTTCTCCAACTCTGAGATCAGCCTATGAGCCATCCCCATGGTGCTGCTGTCAGGTGGCCAAGCTAGGAGGGCATCACAGGAGAGGTGAGATCAATTGATTATCATCTAGCACCAGCCTATTCAAACTGCGCTGCAGCAGCAATGATAGCAACCAACAATTCTGCATTAAAGCAACCAGAATGCAGAAATACACAGCCCAGGTGCTCAGGCTGAAGTGAGGAGAAATGCACGGCTGTGATTTACACCAATGGATCTGGCTCGAGTCTGCAGTAAAGCTACATTCATACAGACACTGAAAAAAAATATTAGCCAGCACACATGCATTCTAGGGAAGTACCAAGAGGTTATACACACCCAGAACATCTGCAGATTTTTTCCGTTCCACTATCTGGATATCCCTTGCTCCAGCAGGAATGTGCGTTACCAGGGAATAGCCTATGGGAAACTACAGATTAATGGAAGGAGAACTTTGTAACGAGTCATCTGAACACAGTGCTCAGCAGACAACGCTGTGATTCATGAGCAAGTGGGACAAATCCTGCTAGCAGCACTGCAGCTCACTCTGTCTCAAACCGATCCCCAGAGAGCGCTACTCATGCCTGAATTAGGTCACTGTATTTGGGACCAGTAGGTTCTGTTGCTTTACACTAATTTTGGAAATCCTGGCCTTTCAAAACATCCTCGCTTCCTGTTATTACAGTGCATTTATTGCTAGCTTTAGCGGGTCATGGGTAAGCAAACAAACCTCTTGCATAACTGTGCTGCTCCATTCAGAGAGCTCAGATTCCTGAGAAGGGTCATGGAAAGGGACTGTTTTTGCAGAAGGGTTTCCCTGCCCAAATCTGCAAGTGCATCAGCATAGAGAACACATGGGAAAAGGTGATGGAGGACACTCAGTGGGAGCCTGAAGCAGTTTACTGAAGAAATAAACGCAGCTAAAAAACACAAATAAAGCAAAGGGACCCTTGGAGCCTTACCCAGATGAGCGTTTCCTTTCCTGTAACTCCCCGTCACATGAGTGCAGCTGCTCCCATCTCCTTGGCAAACTCCACATTTATCCAAGGTGTGGGTGGAAAAGAGAATGCCATCGCAGCCAATTGGCTAGAAAAGGCACAGAGTACTGTGGGTCAGGCAAATATTGCACCCCTTGTACCACTCTGAATGCTACTAACAATATTTTTGCTATAAATGTTTAACAACCTCACATTTTCCAGACACGCAAACCCCTCGGAAATCAGTGTATTTGCAGGATGTTCCATCCCGAGCCTGAACCATTAATTGTCTCTGACCATCCACAGTGGTGCAATGGAGGTCACAGGGCTTGCTAGAAATGTGAACATAGTCATCTAAGGGGAAAGGATATAGAGACACATTCAAAACAGCAGAAACACAATAACTTTCATCCTACCAATGTCAATGAATCTCTGCCAAGCTAAACAACAGCAACACAAATTGCACAGCAGCCAGCGCTGCAGGAGCCACAACCTCTTGTGCCTGCAGGTTGGACAGGAGATTGTGCTTCTGGCAGCCTGCTGCTGCAAGACTTTGCACAGCTCCAGTGCTGGAAAGAGATGCACCTGCTGTTGGCAAAGGTACCACAGCCACTGTGCTGTGCAAAGGCATGCAGCCACATTATACATATATTACACACATGCACATTCATATATCAGTATTTAATACATACATTAGTTGTTATAAATTGACATACAAGACTGTTCAAAACCACATCAGCTTATAACTCAAGATCTCTCCCACTGACATTCCCCCAAGTTGGGCTCAGTTTGCCCCTTGCTTTCTGCAGATGCTTTATAATACCCACAGGAAGCAAGAGACAAATCCACGCGTGCAGCAGAGCCCTGTGCCAAGCGTTGCACTCCACAAGGAGGGAGCATTGATATACCCACTGGCCCAAGGCAGCATCAATGGCAAAACATTATCCTGCCAATCCCCCAGGAGACACATGAGCGCCTGCTAAAAAACAAAACAGTTCACTGTCACTATTCTGGTGAATCAGCAACTTGAAGGGTGAATACATTCACAGAAATTGTCCCCCTCCTATGGCAAGGTGACAAGGCTGAGCAGAGCTAACCACGTCCCAGCACACAGCCCTGCCATGGGGATGCAGGCAGGGGCTGGTGGCACTCAGAAGGAGGCAACAAGGAACATCATGAAGCATAACTGTTGGTTGGTAACTGGAGACACCCAAGCAAGAAAATTCTGCTAAATCCTCTATTTTCAGACACCTAAGTTCCCAAGGGGAATCCCAGTATCCCCTGGAATTGGCTGGGATTTTCTTAAAGCTTGGTTTCAGTGGGAGTTAGGTGCCTAAAAATATGCTTACAGTACATACATATCCTAGCCTGATTCCTCAATTATCCCTGCCGTTCTGTGTCACTCACCCTACATGACCGAACTGATTCCATCTCAGTGACATTTGGCAGAGCCCACACATTGTGTGGGAGTGAGCAAATGTCACAGGAATGCACTGCAGCCAGCAGCAGCCCCAGCTCACCACACGCTGAACGAGGTGGATGCTCCCTGCCAGCACAGAGCATCACCCCACGTCCTCATCCTCCAGTCTGCCTTCCTTGGGAGCTGTGACCAAAACAAGCTGGAGGATACTGTCACAAATATGTTTTGCTATTTTATTTTTTAGGTAACCCTGCAGCTGGAAAACCCTCCTTTGAACCTGGGAGGATTGTGTCCCTGAAAAAAAAAAAATCACTTTAAAACAGCAGAGGAGGGGCCTTCCTGCACTCCATAGCATCATAACTATCAAAATATTTTGGCTAAGCATTATGAAACACACAAAGAATGTCTTGTTACCAGGGTATAAAGGTTTCCATTGATACGTTCTTCCATTATACACATGGGAGTTAAAGGATGAACACTGCTCCTCTCGAAAGCTCCTTCCGTTTGCAGGGCACTCCTAGAATGGGATGCATTAACATCCTGATGAAAATCAAATGTGGGAGAGGCTCCTGGCACACAGCACCCCCTGCAAGGAGCACTTCTTCCATCACCAGCCCCATCCAGAGCCACATCCTCCTCCTCCCACTGTGGGGACAGCCAGGGAAACCCCAAGGCAGATGGCACAAGGACCACACTGGGTTTTATGGCCCCCAACAGCAGGGATAGCAGCCAGAAAAGGGAACTCCAGCTGCTAGAGGGGCAATATGGGGACTGCTACAGGATGAGCAGCACCTCCACTCCAAGGGACTCAGGAATGCCATCACGGGAAGCAAGCATGACTTCTCAGTTTTTCCACCAAATGTCCCTAGCAAGAAAAAAGGATATCCTTACTTGTACTTTGCAGAGCTGATATCTTTTGGATGTTCCAGTGCAAGTTTTATTAGCCAGCCCGCTCACTGACTTTCGTCTGAATAAAGAAATAATGGTTAAAAGGGATCAGAAATACTTTTCTCTGAAGGAGCCGTTGTTCCCTGCTGCTTCAAGACCTGTGTCCACGTAGCAAAGCCACGCCTGAAGGAGAAACCTTGGGGCCAGCACAGTGCATCTCAGCTCCCAGGTAACAGTGACAGGGCAAGAGGGGATGGCCCCACAGTGCCAGGGGAGGTTCAGGATGGATACCAGGAAAAACTGCTTCTCAGAAAGAGCAGTGATGCAATGGCATAGCTGCCCAAGGAAGGGTGGACTCACCATCCCTGAAGGTGCTCCAGAACCGTGGAGATGAGGCACTGAGGGACACAGCCAGTGGGCATGGGGGAATCTTAGTGGTCCTTCCCAATCTTAATGGGAATTCTTTCCCTAATGGGGAGGATGCAGCCCCTCACAACACCATGCTCCACCCACACTCACCTTCTGCTCACATAGGGTTTGCCAGCTGACCCCTCTCTACTTGCACTCACTCACTGAGCAATGACCTGGACCAGACCCACTCCCAGTGTGCACACTGGGGTCTTCCCACCCTCATACCTCTGCCGCAGGCAGTGCCTCTCCTGGGACTTCACACCTCCACCACAGCTCCTCGTGCACGCCGTCCACTTGGTCCACTCACCCCACCAGTACGCAGTGACATCTGCACCCTCCTCCAGGCTGTTGGAGGTCTGAGGCAGGTCCTGCAAGCACCGGGGGGGGGGGGTTGGGAGAGAAGCAGCATTCAGCACTCATTGCAGAGCCCATCCAGCCCCTGCTGTGACATCCCAGGGCATTTTTTTCCCATCTGAGGTCAAGTCTGGGATTCCCATTCTTGCAAGAAATTCTGCTTTCTCAATTGTGTTTTCATTACAAATTGGAATGAAACTGCAATATTTGGGATTCCTCAGGAAAGGAAACGTTCATTGTTTAGCCCAGTTGGCAAAACCAAGCTCCCATACAACCCACAAGTTCTGGCTCTTGCTCCACCACAAACCCAGAGAGTTGATGAGCCGGCGGCAGCTGAGAGCTGAAGCAAAGGCCTGCAGAGCCACCCCACAGAGGCCCAGCACACCCACAGCAGGGTGCATGAGTCCAGGTTTGGACAGGTCAAAGACCACCAGATTTGTCACTTCAGGAGGATCCCACATCTCCCCCACTGTTGCAACCCACACCTTGCGGACAACGAGCTGCTCCAGTAGCAGCATCACCACCACCCACAGGTACCACAAAGGCTCCCATCCCTTCCCCAACCCCAGGACATTCACCAGAGACCACCCCAATAAGGTGACACTTACCTGAGCTATCACAAAGGCCATGTTGCCAACGACGAGAAGGGCCAGGGCAGCCCTCAGCCAGGACCATACACTGACAGAGACCCTGCTCCACCTCCACCTGAGCATCTTCATCCTACGGAGCAACCACGCCGTGCTGAGCAAGACCCCATGCAGCCCTATGGGAGGACCCCCACCACCAGTGACTGCAAGGGCTTGATCCAGGGGTGGTACCTGATTAAAGGAAACATCAACATGGCACAGGTTCCCATCCCCATCTCTGCTGCTATCCGCCAACCCACACTTCTGCACTGGTTCCCAGTGGCTGCACCAGATGTCACCAGTGGGCCTGGCTTTTAGAAGATTTGTATACTTCAATCTCACCAAGCATTTGATACAATTAACAGTGATTATTTTTCCTTTTCATTTATTCTACTCTAATTCCCAGCAATTTCTTGAAGCCTGCTCTTATAGAGAAGAAACCACATGCAACTGAAGTGCAGGAACACAGCATCCCAACTGTCAGCCTTCCACCCCTTTCTCCATTTGCCTCATGAAAGAGAATAACCCAGAATGGCATTTTCTTAATTAAAACCCAGCTTAAAGCCACAACATATTTCACAGTGAGAGCCAGAAACAGGCAGGCTTCAGGAAGTCATGCTTCCAAGCAATCACAGCAGCTCACATCTGCAAGAAAAAGCAGTGTAGAGAGGAACTTATGCTAACATCCCTTGAAGGGCAACTAGGCAATGCCTCTGGGAAATGGGGAGGTGGGAGAGAGGCTGCAGAGCAGCAGCACAGAGGTTTCTCTGCTCCTTCTGCTTCCTGCAATGGCTCTCGTGCAGCTGTGGAAGCACAGACGTGCTGGCAGTGCCTGCACAGCTGTGGGATCTGCCTCGCACAGATCCCCATCGGGGCTCCCGGTTCCCAGCTCAGCTCCACTCTCGCCCCACGCATTGCTTCAGGGCACAGACGCGTTCCAAATCGCGGATCCATTGATTAATCGAAGCGCAGAGCTCTTGGCCGGGGATGCCGGGGACAGGTGGCTGAGCCTTGCCTTACACTTGGTTTTCATTAAGACTTCCAGACACTTCTGATTCCAAGCCAATAAAAGAGCTTGCTCAGAGTTTATCCTAGATCCAGCGAAAGAGCTTCACGCTTAAATAAAAGAAGGGGAAAATAAAGGAAAGGGGAAGGAGGGGGGGCAGGGAAGACACCAGCAAGCACTTCGGAACCGGGAGAGGAGGAAAACATACAGACCTGCATACAGACCCGCCCGCCACGGGGGGATACGGTCGGAGGAGCGCCGTCCGCACGGGGACAGCGGGGACCCCTCGGGCCGAGCGGTGCAGCGGAGGCGGTATCGGTATCGATATCGGTACCGGGCGGCGCGGAGCAGCGGAGCAGCAGCAGCAGCAGCAGCAGAAGCCGCCGCTCCTCCCGACTTCAAAGCTCTGCCGGGCGCCGGGCTCGCAGCAGCAGAAGCCGCAGTGGCTCCCCCCAGCCCGAGCCGACCGCTCTTATAGCGAGGGGGGAAGCGGGGCGGGGGGGAGCGGGCGGAATTCACACCTCTCGGCCCGGGATGCCCCCACCCCGGTTAACCCCTCGCCTCCCCCGGCGCCGGCCCGCGGCCGCCAGCCGGTTTCCTGGTTTCCTGCGGGGAGGCCGGGCGGGGAGGGGGGGGGGGGGGAAGCGGCACGCATGCGTCCCCACCTCGGTTTTTTTTTTCACCCCCCCCCCCCACAGGCAGGGTTGTGGATGGGCTTCTCGGCTGGAGCGGGGCTTTCTTTTGCAAAAAGAGAATAAAATTGCCCTAAGCTGCGTTTTCCGTGCGGTTTGTTGGAAATCAGCGTCGTTTGCTCTGCTTGTGCCACGCTAAAGAAAGGCGGTGGGAATAAGGTGGGCTCGATGCACTGCGGGGACCACGGCTCCCCCCAACCTCCCACCCCATCCCCGGCTCGGTGACAGCCGTGCACGTGGCAGAGAGAAGCCAGAGGAGCACAGCAGCACGTGGGTACTTGATGTATGGAACCACGACACACGGTTCCCTGGGCTCGGTGTAGCCGATGACACAGCTGACAGTGACGTGTGGCTGTGTGCACGTTCCCTGCAGGCACAGTGGGGACATCTCATTGTGGAACCCACCTGAAGGATCTCCTGCTCCCAACTCCAAGGGGTGCTTCATCACCAAGTGCCATCCACGTGTCACCCAGCAGCTGTGCGGTGCAGAATCCCCAGGGGCAGCCACACCTCTTGTCCTTGTAAATTTGGACCCGGGGATGGCAGTGAAGAGCCGAGGAATCTGTCCCAAAAAAATTTACATGGGAAATGAAGTCTCCTTTTTCTGTTTGGCTTAACGTCTGCCAGCCTGCTTTAATTCATCCAGCCAGGTTGATTTGCAACTTTTAGTTTTCCATCGGTTGGCTGTGACCAGGACACTGGGAAAATTTAGCACTTGAGTTCACCCAGCTTCTGCGTTTCAAAATATCCCAGCTCGAGACACACAGGAGGAAACCCTTTCCGTTTCGGAACAACCAGGAGGGAAAAGTCTGAACATGAGAGATTTTAACAGCATCAAAATATTTCACATTGAAAACGCCAGCTCAGCTCAGCCCAGCTCTGTGCGAGCTGCTGTGTGCCCAGGGTTTGTCCAGAGCCACTCTGTGGGTGGGACCCCAACCCGGTGGGACCCCAACCCTGCATGACCCCATCCCACTGCAGTGACAAGCAGAGCTGGGGAGCATTAGGGTGAGGGACAGCTGTCCCCATGCAGGCACTGGAGGTGCCAGCAGCAGGCGAGACGCGCTCGGTCTCCGTGCTTCACCAAAAGTCCACCAAAGCCAAAGGACTTTACTTTTTTTTCTTTTCTTTTTTTTTTCTTTCTTTACGAAACAGTTGAGATGACTCAGCGGTTTCTGACGCAATCCCCGTTTCATCGGAAAATTCCTAACCAGCTCCTAGTGGCAACTGATCGCTCCCATAAATCACGCCGTGTTATCCCTGGCCGCAGCAGAGCGGCTTACGCAGCCCCGGCCCCTCTGCGTGAAATCAGCAGGAGCGATGCCATCGCGTCACCGGGAGCAACACCAGCCCTGAAAGCAAAACGCGGCACAGAACAGATCCAAAGCACCACCCCAAAGCCGGGGGACGCGGTGCTGCTGCCGAGGCTGCCGGCAGGTCCGGCATTAATCATCGACGGCCGGGCTCAGACGACAGGGTTTTTTATCTCCTGGTTTTTGGCGTGAGCGTTAGAAATGATTTGCAGATGTTATTGACTGCTTTTTGGGGCTGGAGTAAATTGAGACAAGATGCACCTGCGTGGAGGGTGAAAAGCACTCTCAACCTGGGGATGGGCGCAGTGTGCTTGCAGAGGACGTTCCCAGAAAAGTCCAGGACTGAGCCATGGGAAGATGGAGCACCAGCCCCATGTGCAGCACAGTGCATGAGGGGCAAATCTCAGCAGGGGTGGGGCTCAAATGGTGCAGATGGCCAAATGTGCAGGAAAAGCTCCAGCTAACCCTATCCCGAACCTTAAACCTAACCCTAACCCGAACCCTGTGCTTCACTTTCCCTGAGGCCAGCTTTTCCATCCCAAATCCGTGCCTTGCACAACTCACACTACAAATAAATGGAGCAACAGAAGCTCCAGAATGTTCTCCTGCTGGAGTGGTGACCCTGGAGCAAGGAGCGTGGAACAGGACCTGCTTCTGGTAGACTGAGTCACATCTTGGCCACAGGATGCCTCGTGCACCACTTTTCAGGCAAAATTGTCCCTTTTCTGGCCCCAGTGCCACGTGGTGTGCTGCAGCATTGCTGTTCCCAGCCCCATTAAAACATCCAGGAGAGCCAGGCTGGAAGAGCATGGTATGGCGTGTGCTGGTCCAGAGCCCCGTCAGCTTTGGATTCACTCAAGGGTGAGACATCTCCCAGACTTTCTTCTTTTCTGACCCTCTCATTGAATAATTCTGCACAGCTACATGCAGTAAATACAGCTGTTAAGGCAGTCACAGAGTGGGGTGAGAGCTCCGCACAGCCAGGACTTTGCCAGGGGGATCAAAATGTGACAAAGCTCCAACAAATGCCCTGGCAGACAGCCCTAGCTTCTTCTCCAGAGCTGTGGCTATGGCCTACCACTGTGCAACTGAACCAAAAGGAGACCAAGAGTTGTCCTTTGGAGACACTCCCGGTCCCTTGCAGAGTGACCCTACGGCACAGTGTTAGGCAAGGCACTTTAAGCTCTGCATGCCTGCATGAAATGTGGACAACAGTGATTTATGTCGTGTTAGCATGAGGGTTTCATCCGTGGATATTTGCAATATGTTGAGTCAAACCAACAAGCCACCAAGCTGCTCTCGCCATCAGATTCCTATTAAAAATGCCTCTGGGAAGTCTGAAAGCCACAAGTGACCGCAGTGTTCCCAGGTATGGTCGTAGCCATAGGGTTTTAATGCCTTTAAAACCACTTTTTTTTTCTTTTGCTTTAATTCTATCTGTCCCCAGAGGACGTATGTTCCTGCAGGAACCTGGAGGAGCCTTCAGACCCATCACACTTGGTTGGAAATTTCAGCTATGCGAAGATTAAAAGGCAAAATTACAAAGCTTTTTCTTTTAGTGGAATGTGCCTTGCATGGAGGTTGTGTGGTATTGTGTTGAGGAACACAAGCTTGCAGCACTGCCAACCACAGGCATTCAAAAGTCATGAGTCAGACTCCCCCAAATCCTAAGATTGGTTTCATTCCCTTCTGGCTTCTGAGCTTTTAAACATCACAGATTCAAACGTTTCTCTTCAGAAAATGAGATTTTTGGCCAAGGGGGTCTGGAGCTGAGACCTTCCCATTGCCACTGTGCTCCAGCAGCTGCGAGTGCAACAAAACCCTTATGCCCCATGAAACCAGCAATAAACACCACTGCAAGACCCCCACCTATTTCCACCTTTGGCATCCAAGCAGCCCACCCTGAAGCAGAACCAGAGGGGTAAGAGCAACAACAAACAGGTGACAAAACATACGTCCTCATCACTAATGGTGACGTTGTAACGGGCAACAACCAGGTAGAGGGGCAGGGAAGGGTGGAAAACCCAAAGGAAAAAAGCAAAGGTATCACACACAACAGGTTTATTCAATAGGGAGACAGGAAGCAGGAATCATTAAGGCCAAGCAATAAGCTAAAACGGGGCCAGGCCTCACAGAGAACAGACATTTGAAGTGGCAATTTATTTCACTAATAAGGCTGCAGGTGCAGAAGGGGGTGGGTGGGCACTGCCCCATAGCCAGCAGCATGCCTGGAGGGCCCTTTCCCCACACCTGTGACTTGCAGTCCTACAGAAAGGATGGTGGTTCTATCAAAAGCTCTCTTTGCATTCATGCAGCGGCTCTGACAAAGGCGATGGGAGGGATTTTACCCCAATGCTCTGCTCACCCCTGCTCCTTGGGGTAGGGAAGGCAGCTCCTTCACTCACCCAAAGGAGAACATATTCTTCATATTCAATACCGGCATCGATCCCCACTCCTCTTTCGGTGCATTCTACACTCAACCTATCACCCTCACATTAAAAATAACACAAAACTCTCTGTGTCTCCTTTCTCCTCTGCAACGTCTGAGCTGAAACAGTAGAAGTGCTCACAGAGAGCCATGGTTAGTGTTACCCTGGAAGGATCCAGGCCGGCATACCAGAACCTGGTTTTGGCATCTGGGAACCGCTTTTCAGCCATATGTATCACCGTTCTTGTGTGCACTCTGGTCCACACAAAATTAGCCCTGTGGAATGTGAATGTGAAATTTGCTTTCCAGAAGCACTTAAAACGCAGGAGCTAAAATTTGCTCTTTCTAGATTTCCTACCTGTTTAAGAGTGTAGGAACAGAATTCTGACCCTTTGTCCCTTGGGTTCCTTCCCTGGAAGATGTGCAAAGCCCATGTCTAGCACCGTGTGTTGAAACAAAGACCCCGAGGTGAGCTGCCACCTGCCCTGCACGCTTTGCTTTGGGCTCTCTTTTTCAATCCGTGCTGGAACACGTGTGCAAACCAGGGGTGTTTTTTTTCCTTCGTGCCTACAGTGCTGGCTGCAAATCAAGCACCAGCCCAGGGCGTGCAGCTGGGAGAGACAAAACCCAAAGCACCTGAGGAATGTTTTCTTGCTCCTGAGAGCTCCAGTGCTTACTGCCCAGGGCTGGCACACGCTGCAGCCAGCAGCCAGCTGGGTTTCCCTTCCCCTGGGCTCCAGCTGTGTTTTGGGCAAAGAAGTGAGGGGGGTTCATGTGACAACGGTTTGATCAGATTTTGAAGCTGTTGCATGACCGCCACAGTCACACGTCCATGCGAATGGTCCCAAGGGGTTGCCATGCACGCAATTGTGGACATGTGTTCACTTTGCTCCAGTTCCCACTCAGGAGAAGTTGGGTAGTTCTGTGCTGGGTCAAGGTGAGAGATTTTCACGGTGTAAAGGGATCATAGAGGTTTTCACTGTTTATTTGCAGTTTTGCAGGGATTGGTGCTAAGCTCATGCAGGCAGAAGGGCAGCTGAAGATGTGCACACAGCAGCTCCCTGTGAAGGGATGCTCGCCTGCAGACCTGACCAGTTACAGAACTGCAGAATCATTCAGGTTTTAAAAGACCTCTCAGATACCCAACCCACCCCACCATGCCCACAGATAAGTCCCACAGTGCCTCATCTCTACGGTTCTGGAACTGTAGCCCCACCACTGCCCGGACAGCCTGTTCCACTGCATTACCACTCTTTCAGAACAGCAGTTTTTCATAATATCCAACCTGAGATATCCTATAGAACACGACCCCATCACACTGTGCCTGGAGGAAGACTGCCAGCAAGCCCTCCTATGCCCACACCTTGATACTACTGGGCCATCCTCATTGCACGCAACACCCAAGTGACTCCTCCTCCCTTTCCAGCCTGTCTGGAGGCTCACAGTGCCTTTATGTGTTCCCATCAGAGGCACGGGCAAACCCATGCTATAGAGCTCACACACAGCTGGTGGCTCCCAGCAGCCCACAGCCCCCTTCCAACCCCCACCAGCACAAAGGCGTTTGCTCAAGCTCAGCATTCCTGCTCCCTGCTCATGAGAACAGCTGGACTGAAAGGATGCTGAGAATCCCTGCAAGGCTCCAAGGAAAAGATATTAACCTAGGAGGGGATCAGCGGTGATATAATAAAAAGGCATAATAAAAGAGAGAAGCCACTGAGTGGATTAGCAGCCCAAATTTTGCTTGGCTTTTGGTCTCCTTCCCTCCAGTTCTCCCACACCATCCAGTGATCTGCTCCTATTCCTCTCTGCAGAGGGAAAGCTCAGTTCTTGAATTTCCATGGGGTTGAGTTTCACCCTTCCTGAGCACCCAGGCACACACGTGTATAGGCGGCATTTCACACCAGATAGGATGCTGGCTCAGATTTGATGCTGCTCCCATGCTTGTTGCTCCCCAGCGCCTCTCTTCCATGGATAAAAGCCAGATTCAGAGCTCCATGGGTGTGTGCAATAAACGCATGTGCATTACAGCCAGCATTAAGCAAACCGCAGTCGTCGAAGGACACAAACAGCTGGGGCATTGCAGGGCATGGAGCATTTGCTGCCCCAAGAATTTTGCTATCCAGGAGGGAATGGAGTGCATGGGTGGCTCAGCTGTGCCACAGCCCGCAGCTGTTCCCTGCCTGCAGCTCTCCGGACATTTAAAGTTTAAAGCCTTCTCTCCACGTCTGTTTTCTCCTCCATCTCCAGCAGCTCACACAGACCCAGGAGCCGCCAGCCTGTCAGGCACTCATGGGCTCACTGGTGGCCAAACTCCTCCTGCCCACCCTCAGCACTTTGGTCTTTCTCCCCACCATCAGCATCGCGGCCAAGCGGCGCTTCCACATGGAAGCCATGGTCTACTTCTTCACCATGTTCTTCGTGGCGGTAAGAGTGCATGTGTTTTTCCTCCCTCCCAGTGTCAGGAACAGGGGGCTGTCCATGGGGGTGAGAGGGGATGTCACCAAGTGACCACCAGAATACTGAATTTTATCTATCTCCCACCGTGTGCAGTGCTGAGCAGTGCGTTCTTGAACGTCCCCATCCTTGGAGACACCCAAGGTCAGGCTGGGTGGGGACACGAGCACCAGACTGAGCTGTAAGCGTCCCAGTTCAGTGCAGGGAGTTGGACCAGATGGCATTTGAAGGTCACTTCCGATTCAAACGATTCTATAATTCTATGGCCCTGTGATTCTTTGGGTGGATGTGCCGAGGGCTGTCCTTAAGGGGACGTAGTGGTGTTTCATGGTGAATTTAGGAAGGGTCTGGATGTGAAACAGTGATTCAACACAGTGTTCTGGAGCCAATCCTCTCTTTGTTTTACAGCTGGGAAATAGCCATGCTGGACTGAGGGTTTAAATGCCATTCAGAGTATCTCACTATGCTTCTGTCCTTGTAGCCAGAAGCACACAGTCAAATTCTTGATTTTGCAATTGCTAAGTGGTGGTGTGAGCCATGCTGGAGTCAGGGACTTTTGCAGGGGGGAAGGAAAGGCTAAAACATGCTGCTGAGCTATCGGGGAAAATAAGTTTTACCCCTCCACTGTGGCAGTGATGTGAAAGCCAGCACCTCCTGCCCCCCTTTTGTTCATTTCTCACCACTCATCCTAAGGCATTTCATGGAGCAATTTGTGTCCCCCGCATGGACACAGAGACAGTGGATAGCGAGGCATCTTCCTGGTGCAAACAGCTCTTCTGCAGCAGAACTGAGGGTAAAGCCCTCTACGCTTTTATTCCTGAGGATCCACCATTTAAAGCCCCATTTAAAGCACAGCGCAGGGGGAAAACTTCTGCCAGTTCCATAAAGACTCCAGGAGCAGTCAATAAACCCATCCCCGCCGAGCACAGCCCACCCCCCCCACCTCCCTCCCAGCTCCCCGGGGAAGCCAGACATCTACAATTTCATTTTGCACCGCTTCTGTGTCTGCTCCACCTTCCCCAGAAGCCCATCGGAAAGTTGGCGTGTGCCTGGAGGGGAGGCGGGACGGATCCTCACCGTGGAGCTGCAATCCTCGCGTGGGGAAGGGGCTGCAGCTGCCATCCGGATGGGGCAGGGGGTGACAGCTGCTGCCATCCCCATTCTTGTCACATCCCCTCCTGGGTTGCATGTGGCCGTGCCCAACAAGTGGCATGATGCCGGCCAGAAAGGCACTCCTTCTCCTTCAGCCCTTCTCCTCCCTGATCTCCAAACACAGCCTGAAGCAGGGAGAGGAACGATGGCCATAATGCTATCATTGCTAGAAACCACGGTGAGCCAAAGGGCTCCGAGTGATACCCATGATACAGAATAGCAGCATCCTGCTCTGCATGGCAGTGGGGCTGCCCCATAGGCACGGGGCCAAGCAGTGCTGGGACCTTTCCAGTGCTATGGTGCTTGTGGTGGGAAGTGAGTAGGGCTGGGAGCAGGTAGGGAAAGGTGAGCACCAGGCAGGAGCATTGCTGTGATTGCTCTGCAAAATTTCTCTTGGCTTGGTCTGCATCTGTGCTGCATGACAGTGATTCTTTGCAAATATCCCAATCGATGAGCAACATCCAGTGGACAGGAGCCAGCAGGCACTAATGAGTGACGTCCCCAGTATCCAGACTCTGTCCATAGAAACCCTAATGAGCCCATACAGTGACCTGGCATCTAGACATGTTTCATTGGGAAACTCATTAGGAATTCTTTTACAAGAATCTTTCACAATTAAAATCAAAACTGTCTGAGCCCTTCCTTCTGCTGGAAGAAAGCAGCTGTGGGTCCCTGCTCACAGCAGTGGTGTGGTCATCACAATGCAAACTCTGGCGCTGCCTGGAAGGCAAAGCAGAACCAGTCAGCAGATAATTTTTAATAGGACAGAAGAGTGCTGGCACTGGGGTGGTTTGCCATTGGGTACGGTGATATTGTCTCTCCAATAGATTCACTGCTGCACATCAGCAACCCTGGTGGATCTGGGACTGTTCTGCTCCTATGGTTTAGTAGCCACACAAAGTCTGTTTCAAACCAACTGATAAGAGGAGGTATATTTTACCTGTCTGTGGGTAAGAATCTACATCTCTAATGTTCTCTTTTTTTCTTTTTTGAATAGATTTACCATGCGTGTGATGGCCCTGGCTTATCGGTGCTATGTTTCATGCGCTATGACATCCTGGAGTACTTCAGCATCTATGGGACAGCTCTGTCCATCTGGGTGTCCCTGATGGGTAAGCACAGCTCAGGGTCCCTGCAGGTGGGTGCTGGTTGCAGGGCTGTGCTTTGGAGCTCCAACTACATCACTCACCTCTTACAGAAGTCAGCCCACGCCACGGTTTGGTCTTTCTTTATGTCATGGAATCATACAGTGGCTTGGGTTGGAAGAGGCCTTAAGGATCATCAAGCTCCAAACCCCTTGCCATGGGCACGGCTGCCTGTGTACCACACATACCTTGGAAAGTCATTGCACCTAGTGGATGGATGCACACCAAAACCATCCCGCATGGTAGCTGGGATGGCTTTGCTCTTCGAGATAAACAGAGCCCTGGAGACAGCTCTTGTAATAAACTAGGCACTCTTCTTCCATCATTATCTTTTCACATAAGCAAAATTGTTTACTTCAGATAGGCTCATGCAATCTTGTGCTTTGGTTCAAGGAACCAGCAGCACTGGGAGTACTACAGGATGACTTGGTCTGAGACCTCACACACCAGAGAATCTCACTTTTCTCTTCCCTTTCCCCACGCTGTGCCCATTGGTTTGTGTGCTGAAGTTCTTCTAGCCATGGAACAGCCCACATCCCAGAATTGAGGCATTCAAAGTGCAGAGCTTGCCACTTCCCTAGGCAGCAAGCAAACCAAAGTGGTTTAGTCAAAACAAATCTATCTCCCCAGTTATCAAGCCTGGTCTGGGCTGTTGGAAATTATTAGATCTGATTAGAAAAGGCAGAAAGGTACTCTACTTGCTTTTCATTAAAAATCCTGACTCTGGCATATTCAGGTTTCCTATTCTCACATTCCCTCCATTCTCTATTTTTCCCCTCTTGTTCCTCATTCACCACTGAAACGAGGCAAAATAGGAATGAACACAATGAAAGAACCAGAGAAGGGGGAAGGCTGCAGAAGGGCACGTGGTCTGCAAGGGACATTTCTCAGTAGATGACGGCAGGGTCAGGGAAGGTCGGTGCTGATCCAGGTGCTTTGGTTCCTCGCAGCAAAATTTCAACTCGATTGCTTCATTAACCGCGTTCAAAAAAAATCTGACAGCAAATCAATAAATAATAAAAATAAATAACCCCAGACTAAGATGTTTAAAATATTGACCCGCGGGGAAACAACAGAGATTAAAATGCGGACATGATCCCTTAGCCAAACTCCCTATAAAAACCTGATCCAAGGACATGGAGGTGCACTGACTGCAGCCCAGGGAAGCCTCTGGCTGTGCCTTGTAAAGCCCAGGCGCACATGTGCGGACGCAGACCCTCGGGCACGCTTCCCGGAATGCAAATCCAGGACAGCCATAACACAGCTGTGCGAGCTGGAAAAGCATGGAGCCCACTGGGATCCATAACTTTTATCAGTTATTACCCCATTCTGTGCTAAACAAAAGCCTTCAATAATTCACTTGCACTGGCGACTTCCAGCTTGCAAACCCAGGCAGGTGCCGGTGTCGCCCATCAGCCTGGAGCCCCATCCCCACCACAGCCAGGAAATTTGGGAGGGCTTTGGGAAGAGCAGGAACCAGGCACAGCTCCACCAGCTGCAAGATCCCTGCTTTCATCCCTGACTTTTTGGTTGAGGCAGCAGCAGGTTCTGCCAGGGTCAGCCCTACAGGTGCGCTGAGCTCCCTGCATTTGCAGAGCCGAGGGGAAGGGGTGAATGCACATCCCAGCACTGATGGCTGTAGAATCCTAATCCTAACCCTAACCTAAAGCACAGCCCCAATCATTAAGGTTGGAAAAGACCTCTGAGATCATCTAGTCTGACCAATCCCAGACCCAATCCTGGGGTCCCTGGGATGAGGCTTGGGCACCCCGAGCTGCTCTCCCCACCACGGGAGCAGGAAACACAGCTGAGCCAAATCCATGCTCTTTGCCCACAGCCCTGGCCGAGTTTGATGAACCAAAGAGATCGACCTTCGTCATGTTCGGCGTGCTCACCATCGCTGTGAGGACCTACCATGACCGCTGGGGATACGGCATCTACTCGGGACCCATTGGGACAGCTGTGCTGGTGATCACCGTGAAATGGGTGCGTCCAAAGGGCACGCCTGGGGCTCTCCAATTACCTGCAAGAGGTTTTCAAGGTCCAGCCCCAAGTTGAACTTGTCTCTCAAACAGAGGCTGGGTTTGCAAGGGCGCACGCATCCTTAGCTCAGGTTTTGGGGCTGAATGTTGAGAATCTAGCATTGTGCAAAAAAAAACAAACAAAACAACAGAGGCAGAAGGAGCACAGGGCTTGCCCAGTGCAGGCAGAGCCCACAGCCTCAGAGCATGACTGCAGCTTTGCATGGCTTTGTGTTAGGGTGTTTCATGGCTTTGTGTTAGGGGAGATTTAGACTGGATATAAGGAAAAAAAATTTACAATAGTGGTGATGCAATGGCACAGGTTGCCCAGAAAGGTGGTGGGGTTCTGTCCCTTGAGAAATCCGAGGTTGGGGGATGGGGCTCTGAGCACCTAGTGGAGTTGCAGGTGTCCCTGTTCACAGCAGGACATTGGATCAGGTGGCCTTTAGGGATCCCTTCCCACTCAAGTGGTTCTGTGGTTCTTTGTGTTAACATTAACGAGATCTGGGCATGGAGCCCCTGTGGGCCACAGGTGAGGCTGCTCAGTGTGCTCTGTGTGCTTGCAGCTACAAAAGATGAAGGAGAAGAAAGGGCTGTATCCAGACAAGAGCGTCTACACCCAACAGATCGGTCCTGGCTTCTGCTTCGGGGCATTAGCACTGATGCTGAGGTTCTTCTTTGAGGTACCATTTGCACTCTCCCCCACACTGACATCTCCAGAGGTCATCACCCTGGCTAACATTTGTGCCACGAATAGATCCAAACCGTCCTCTTGCCAAGGTGAAGGCCTCACTGGCTCCTGGGTGCACACAGCCTTGCTTTCAACCTCTGCTCCCACCACTGCCCAGTGCCCCTGTTCTGCATGAGAGCTCACACGTCCCACCCACACCGTTACGGCTGCTCCGTGCATTGGGAGCTGTGAGATCCGACCTCGCCGCCATCCCCGAGGGTTATTTTTCAAAGCATGCAGTAATTGCACATTCTAGCAGAACATAAAAATGTCACTTTGCAGCGCGTCCCCCCCCACCGCACCCCATCCTCCCTCCTGGCCTTCCCAGCCTCGTCCTTTGCAGGGTAATGAAACACTTCATTCACCAATTGGGAAATGTGCAAATTGGAATGTGTTAAATCCACTTTGCCTTTTTTTTTTTTTTTTTTTTTTTTTAAGGCTGAAAATCGTTTCTTCTCTGACAGCAGGACTCAGGATATCTCTTTTATCCCTTTCCTTTGGGCTACTTGCAGAACCCCCACGCTCTGCACCCACTGGCCCAGTAATGCTTTCCCCTTTGCAGGAGTGGGACTACACCTACGTGCACAGCTTCTACCACTGCGCCCTGGCCATGGCCTTCGTGTTGCTGCTGCCCAAGGAGAACAAGAAGGCCAGGGGGGCTGGCAGCCCTGCCAGGCTTGACTGCTCCACGCTGTGCTGCTGCGTCTGAGCCCCCTGCATGGTGCTTTGCTCCAGAGGATCTTTGCCCACCAGCTCCATACACACCCAGGGCTTTTCTTCTGTGGAATGGTTTGCTCTTTCCACCATCAGCCCCAGCTGATGTGCTTTCACTTTGCTCAGTTCCCCTGGAGAAGCCTTTGCATGGGGTGTGCCCCTGTGCCAGAGAGCTCTGCATCACCTCTTGGCCACATCACCTCCCCCTGTCCCCTTTGCTGGCCTGGAAGGACCAGAGCTTCAGGACCAGTTTGGGCACATAGTTCTCTGTTTGTAACACCCAGAACCTTTTTGTGAGATGTTTGTATTTTTGTGAGATATTTACAATTTTATTTATGCATTCTCTTGATGTAAATAATACTTATTTCCAAAGACTTGGCAAATGTGCAACACCAGCATTTCTCAAGTGTTGCAAATCCCCTCTCTGCTCAATGCTGTCTTGCTCCGGCCCCAAACGCTTTGGGCACAGCCACCCCATCCCCTGCCTCACCATCAGCTGCAGCTTTGGGTACTTTGGCCAGGCCAGCAGGTGTGCTCACAGCAAGCATCCTTAGTATGGGAAGCCCAAGGAAAATGAGAGGGCACAGCAAAGCTCTTGGAGAGGGGGGAGGGCTGTAAGCCTCTAACATCTCCTCTAACAGACTATTTACTATAGCAGAAGTGTATGATTTATTTAGACTGTCTGGGAAATACGCCAAGACTATATGTCATGGACAATTAGAGCAGTATTGATATACAGTGATGTCCACAGAAAGCCCACATTAAGCCTGGGTTCCTCTGGAAGAGAAATCCAGCCCGGTCATTCATCAGAGCCACTTCCTGCAATGGGGCAACGACCAAAGCTGAGCAGCTTTCCAACAAAAACACAAATGAATCACGGAGCCCCGCGTGTCCAGGAGTCACTGGCAAGCTGGTGGCACAACCAACCAGCTGCACACAGAGAAAAGTGTGCCCAAAGGGCTCTGCAGGCACCTCGACCAACAGGACTCGCTGGAGTGCACGCAGCCTCCAGCCCCATCTGCAAGGTGCATGCAATGCTCTGCCTGTCGCTTGTCGAGCCATCCTGAGCACATCTGTGCATCCTGAATGCTGCAGGCTGGGGTTCATTGCTTCGCATTCAAAAGTTCATCCAGCCTCCACATCTCTGTGCACATCTTCACCACTGGTGCAGCCATTGACCTGAGGGACTTGAACCCCAAAACACATATTGTGGCTGTTTGGCTCTTGCAGGGCAGCAGTGCTGTGAAAGTTCCCCATGGAAGCCCCAGCTGAGCTCACAAGCATGGGGAGAGAGTCGTGCCTGCAAAATGCTTAGGGGAGAGCTGCTGATAAATGCAGTGGGTTATGGTGCCTAAATGCATGTTATAAGAACGCTGACAGATCCCTTGCAAGCCAGGAGGGCATATGAGCTAAGGTCCAGCTGAGTAAATGAAAGCTCCTGCTCCCACCTGCTGTGTACTCAGGTGTTACACCAAAAAACAAAACAAAACAAAACCAACCATCCAGAAAGGGTATTACACACTGCAAAGCGTCAGCGAGGTTTCTCTCTATTCCTTTCTGCCTATTGTTGCCCTCAGGCTCTGCTCCCACCATCCACCCCCAAACCAGCACCCATTCTGAGAGCTGCACCACAGCCTGGAGCATCCGTGGTGTCCACGGTGGGACCAGCATCCACGGGGCGATGCAGGGCTCCCCACACCTGCCTGCAGAGACTGAGCTCGCTATCGCCCGGCCAGGATATCCCATGCACTACAAATGCAAGGAAATATTATAAACATTTACAGCAACGTAGACAAAACAGTCTCTTGTAACCTTTTAGCGCTGCTGAGAGCTTTGCCTGTAAGAGCTCTTGAGCCCCTGCCAAAAATTCTTGCTGTTTTCATAAGACGAGGTGTTTTCGTCTAAGGTGCAGTCTGAGTGCTGTGACCTTTGTCATGTCTGCTACTGAAATTTCCTGCTTCTCTGTTATTCTCTTCTTTGGTAAGACGATATGAAACCCAAAACTTTTATTGCCCCTTTTAAAGCGTCTTTATAGCTCCCCGTCTACTTCATATACTGTGTTATTCTCCAATGCTGGGATATTACTTATGGGATCTAGGCTTGATGCTGCAAAAGGCATTTGGGTTTTGCGGAGCCGAAACCGCCCGGGCTTTTTTACCATCGACCCAAGGGGGAAAAAAGAAAGAAAAAAAGGAAAAAATGAATGAGAGGGGAGGGACTGTGTTTTCTGCTCCAGCCCTGTATCTGCTGTCAGCACAAGGCAGAGCAGCATCCCACTGCACACCAATGGGCACCCGCATACAGGATGACCCAGTGCTGTCCCTTTGCAGCACTCATGGCCAAAGTGTCCCCATCCCCGTCCCCTCCTGATGACAGCCACCCCGCACGGCTGGGATGAGGGGATTTAGGACCTGCTGCTGCACGAGGGGCAGCTTCCAGAGATGTGGAGTGGGGCTGAGTGCCAGCTAATCTTCCAGGCAAACCTTATCCAGATCCCTTTGGCTGCAGAAAGCAAGAATCTGGCCAGACCTAAACATAAAAGCTCGATTTCTGCTGCCAGCTGCATGGGGCACTCCAGAAAGCACCTTATCTCCATGGGATTCTGAACGGCAGCTTTCGGCTTTTTCCACTCACTGCTCCCCCTCTCCATGCTGACTCTCTATGCATGTCCAAGCAAGAGGCTCCACTGGCTTAGTGGCGAGCTTGGCTTCATCTTCTGACCAATGCTGTGCCCTGTGGGCCACAGCAAGGCTACCTCGTTTTGGAAAGCACTGCAGCTCCTGCCTGAGCTTGGGCAGCTCCAAGGGAGCTGTGCTGGACAGACCCAGCAGATGCATTCTCCAGGACTTACTCTCAGGGGTTGTCCATAGAAACTCAATTTTCATGGAAGTTCGGCAGTGGTGATTTGTGTTCAGGGAGCCCAGGGGAGATCTTGCGCTGGGCTCTTCCATCACCCTTCATTCTGTTTTCTTGGAGATGCCTGTGCCCTTAACAGGGCATGGCTCAGGGGGAGAACCTGTAGTGGCAAAGGCAGCCACCACCCATGTCCTACCCAGCACCAGATCTCCCTGGGACGTGATACAGGAGCACCAGACTGAGAGCAGCCCCATCCACCAACCTAGAACAAAGGGGAGCAGGGTGGGATCACCCTGGTTGGGTTTACTATGCAAAAACAACCTTCCATGCAGCAGCACTAGACATAGTCAAAGCAGATGCATAATATGTGTAGCAAATAGGTAGCACTACCAGGACATCCATCCCACTTCAGTGCTGGGCGTCCTGCAGGGTTGCAGCCTTCAGCCCCAAATATGAGCACAGAGTCCTTGGAGGGGCAGCTGCAGGCTAGCAGGGCTCTCCTGGCTCCTGCCACGATGCTACAAAACTCTCATCCCAAATCCAGGTTGGGCATCTTTGGCCACCCCACTCCTGCAGCAGAGAGGTCCCTGAGAGCAGCGGTCCAAGGTTTTGGTTTAGGCCAATCTCCCAGAAATTCTGTCATCATGCAGAGCATCACGCACACTGCCGGATCCACATTACAGAAAGGATGGCCCTGAGCCAGCACCTCTTAAAGGCAGTGGAAAAACCCTCCCTTGCTACAATGGGAGTTGGCTCAGCCCTTATATGATCTGACAGATACCACAGAGCAAGAGGAGTTGTTTTAATCTGGGAATATCTCATGGCCCCAAAGCTTCTCCTGCAGACTGACAGGGCAGCGTGTCTGTGGAGCGTGTGCTGCTGGAAGGAGGGCCTTCCAATAAGTGTTGAACTGATGGTCTTTATCTGATCCATGTGCTCTGAAGGCAAGGGAGCCGCTCGGGTTTCCAGCTGTACACATCATCTGATGCTCATAAAAGGAGCTGATGTGTCTGGGAGCCCTAGACCCAAAGAAGCATTCTTGAAATGGGGGAAAGTCAGTGTTACTCAAAAAGCACTGCACAGACAGGCAGGGCAGCTGTGTCTCCACTACCTGTGTTTTTCCAGCAATGATAAAACTCACGAAGGGTCTTTTTGCCCATAAAAGGGAATCATGGAATCATAAAATCATAGAATCACAAAGGTTGGAAAAGCCCTCTCAGATCCCCAAGTCCAACCCATCCCACCGTGCCCGCTGCCCGCGTTCCTCAGTGCCACATCTCTGCCATCCTGGAAAACCTTTTCTTGGAGATTGGGGGAAGCTTTTCACACACCTCTCCCCTCTCTAAACGCCTTTCTTTGCATTTTTGCTCTTTCAGTAGCCCAGCTCATTGGAACAGAGCAGGAGCTCAGGTCCGCGCTATGACCAAGGTATCAGGTAGCACCTCCACATCTGGAAGGGATTTTGACACAAGTTCTCCCAGACTCGTTACAGACACTTTAAAAGCAAAATCTGATAAATAGCAAATGTTTAACAAGTCAATAGGAAGCTGTGTTTGCTAGAACATGTGGCCCTCACTGTCCTAGCACTGCCGCATCGCCAGTGCTTTCTGAGCATGCAACCATGCAAGGCTCCAGCCGGACCTGCTCTGCATTACAGCGGGAAGAATTAAAGGCAGATGTATCTTTACACATCCAGATGTGTCCAATAGCCCTCATGCTGCCTTCCTGCCCTGGTGGTGAGGGGGTTTCTTCTGCTGTTACCAGTAAAGTATCTCAACACAACAGCTCTTGTAGTGTTGCAACCCTTGCCTGCTTTCGGGCAATAAACAAATGAACTGCCAAAAATGTGGCAACAAGCATTAAAATAGACAGAATTATGCAAGGAGCAGAAGGGGAGACAGAGGAATAAGGAATGACCAGAAAAACCACCAGAAACCCTCCGGGATGCCTGCCTATATTTAAAGATAATGTGTCCAGCCTTCTTGCCAAGTCCCACTCATTTGGAGCTGGGCTCATGTTTTGGATTAATTTTAAGTCAGTTCCTAAAGCATCTCGCTCTCACAAGGAAGAATGTTTGCCTCCTTGGCCAAGGTGACCAGTTATTAAAAAATCTCACTCACTATTTTTCAGCCTCTCACTCATTTAACATTGTCATCACCCAGAGCTCCAGGGCAGCCCTGGGGGGGGACCACATGGCCCCAAGT